ATCAAATAAATATATACATGAGTTTAAAAAAATTGTTAGCTTTTCACTCATAATTATTTCCTTTTACTTGAAAATTGAAAACAAAGTGGACATTTAATCCTAAATATTATCGAGTGTTTATATCGAATTAAATTTGGACAAAAAAATAAATAAAGGAAAAGACAAAAAGAAGTAAGTGATTGGCACTTTCAAATTTTAAGACAATCACAAGACAAGTAATTCAACTGTCGGTCTTAAAAGTGGCAAGTAGAAACTTCAATTTTAAACTGCAATTTGTTAGCATGACTATAGAATTTGAGTTATGACCGATTAATTAAATGGTCTTATTATACAACTCAATAAATAAATTATTACCAAAAGATAAAGGCCACTAATATTGAATAGGTTCACATGGTGAAATCATATAGATATATACATGAGTTTAAAACAAAGTTGTTAGTTTTAAACCCTTGTATATATCTATTGAATAGAATGTGTATAACTATGATTAGTCTGTTTAGGTGAAATTAGATAGAGATATATTACATATTATTCATACTGTTCAAGTGAAATCAAATAGATATATATATATATATATATATATATGGGTTAAAAAAACTATTCGTACACATAATCAATGAGGGATAAAAAAATTCATTTTAAAAAATGTGAGAGATGAAAAAATTCATTTTGTGAAATGTGAGGGACAAAACAATTCATTTTGTAAAATGTTAGGGACGAAAAAATTCATTTTGTGAAATGTGAAGGACTATAAATCGAATTATGTAAAATTTGATTTGACAATTTTGCCCTTAAAGAATAATCACGTGCAAGGCCTTGCACATGGTGGATTCTGACAAAAAACTAGTCGAAAACTTAGGTAGAGATTAAATTTGATCAATGTGAATTTATAGGGACGTAAAATTATACTTTTAAAAGTAAGGAATGACAAAGTTATTTTACAAAATGTGAGAACGTTTTGAACGATTTTTTCAATTGAAAAATATCAAACGTCAGAACCGTTTCTTTTGCAAGAAACTTTAACCATCATTAATAACGTAAACAAAAATTTTCCAATCTGACACATAATTAGACAATTTCTGTTTTGTATGTCAGTGTTTTTTAATGCTTCTTAACTAATTAAAAATTCAAAAGTCAAGAAATTTATGGCAAATCTCCTAATATTCTGGATTAAATGAACATTCCATTTTATTGTGGATGAATAATATGAATCAACGAGGGTTAAAATAAGTTCAGATTAATCAAGTCCTCAGCTACTGCTGAAAGAACTCCACGAATCTGTATATATGGCGTAAGCAAGTATTTTTATGTCATGAACCTGCTAAATATTTACAAACATGTTAACAAACATAATCATATACTAGAAGGGTTTGAAATTAGATAGATTGTTTGATTGTTATAATAAAACAATATGATTTAGTATTTCAAATTTTCATTTTGTTCTTGCCTTTTCATTTTTTGATAAATTAAAAATTATCTAGACAAATTTACATCAAGTACCTTTAAAAAAGAATTTCTCTCAATTTATATAGTTTGTGATCTAGATGGCAAAATGGATACCTACTTAGCTAGCTAGTGTTCTCTAGAAGATTGGTTCCAAATCTTACTCTTTACTTAAGAGACATTCAAATGTTACCTAATAATTATTGTGCAAAAATGGAAATGAATCTCCTCATTTACGCTTATATGGGACCAAATACATGGCGGCGCCCGGCGGAGCACTTGCAAGCAGTAAGCTTTCTTCAGATATTGTCTACAATCCAGGCAGCTGTAAGACTTTCTCTTCGCTGTATACAGCCTGCTGAATTTGTCTAATTATGTTGTCGTCTTGCTTCAGGGTTCTTAGCTCCTTGTGCAGGCAATTCACAGGCTTCCATTGATGTGCTTGAGTTTGTGGGAATCAATTGCACCGGTATAAGTCGAAATATTTATCCAGCACTGTTGCAAGATTGAGCATTTCCACCCTCAGAAATGAGGCAGGCAGACATGTCACCTCTAGCAGTAGCAAGCAAGCAAGTAGCAATTGAACCAAACTGAACTCTTCATTCTTTTGTTGATTGTTGTATTTTACCCCCCCCCCCCCCCACAACAACATAAAATAAAGGAACATAAATTAATCCTACTCCAAAATTGTTGGTTGCTTTTCCGAAAGAACCCATATCTAATTGCGAGATTTGATATTTAATTGTTGATGCTTCAAAATACTTAAGGCTACAAAAATTTAACATAACAAACTCAATTTTAAAAGGACACCTAAAAATAGGAGAGGAATATCCCCCAGTGGCAATAATTAAGTAGCTAGGCAATATTATCACACTTAATTAGTAGCATCTAAAAATAAATGTCTTCATTTGATGAGATAAATTTGGTATTTTTCTTCAGTAGTTTTGAGCATGGGATTTTAGATTTTATTCTCTTAATGACTTTATGATGATTTGCCTCATATTTTTGCCATTAATAATTGTTTAGGTTCAACTTAACTCCTTTTTATTGCATTTTTACTTTTTTTTTTGGCTTAATTTGCTGTGTGAGTGTGCAATAGTAACTTGGGAAAGCAAATACTTTTTAAAATTTAATGCATTGGCTGATTTTGTTATATCAAAATTTAAAATAGGAGAGGTAATTGTGATATTCAAAACCTCAACCAAGTGAAATTGGGATAAACCTCAATGGAGCTTTCTAAAATTATCCTAAAACGTTAATCACACTCGTAAAAAGTACGATTGTTTTTGGACTAAATGTAGTTAATGCAAATAGAAACCTACAAAGTGATGGGGTGTGGTCAAATTTAAAATTAAACTTCTAACAAGTAAAAATTTGCACTTGATTGAATTTTTTGGACTTATAATATAGCAGACAAACTCCACCTTGCATTTCTAAACTTGTATCGCTTTCCTGCCTTACACTTTAAATTTTAATTTTGGACATTTTGCATACTAAACTCTCAATTTTAGATACTTTATATCTTAAACTTTTAAATTTGTCCTATTTAAATCCAGTCAATGCCAAATTTTGCAAAATTAATGGCATAGAGGACCTAACAAATCAATGATAATGTACCAAAAGAAATTAAAAGATGCCAAGGAATCATAGCAAAAATAGAATACTATGATATTATTAATTTGTACTATCTTTTATATCGTTAATTTTGCTAACAATATTAGTAATTTAGAACATAAAAATAAATGATAATGTGCTAAAAATGGTCAAAAAGCTAAGAAATCATAGTTGGAACAAAATGATACATTGTCATTAATTTTCACTGCCCTTTATCTCGTTAATTTTGCGAATGTAATCATTGATTGTACTTAAATGAGATAAATTTGAGGGTTAATCACATTTTATCCCCTTAAAGAATACCCTATTTCTTAGTTTGCCCCCTAACCTTTAATTTTGCTCATTTAACCCCCTTTAGGACAAAATTGCCCTTGCATTATTTTGGACTTTTCATTTACCTTTTTTTTTCTTTTTTTTCTTTTTTTTCTTTTTCTCTTTCTTCTTTATTTAATTCTTCTTCTTTCCCACAAAAATCTTCACCTTAATTATTGAAATTAGAAAAGAAGAATTGCAGAGATCTATCTTCTCCTTAAATGATTAAAAAAATATTCAAATCACTTTCCTAAAATACAATTTTTTTAGTCTTTCAATTCTTTTAATTTTGGATTTTTCTCTTTCCTTTCTAGTTTCTCATTTTATTCCCAAGAAAATATCTTAAGATGAAATTGTGACCTGATTAATAATCATCAATTGAAATTTGTGACACGTGGCATCATACAAAAAATCAAAATTAGTTTTTGATGCCTTTTAAACCTTCACCCAAAAATATGCAATTACAAACTAAAAAAAAAAAAATTCGTTGAAATGGAATTTCTATTGGGAAGGATGAAAGAGAGAAGAAAGAGAAAAAGAAATAAAAGAAAGGGAAACCATTTCATCTTATGATATTTTCTTGAGAATAAAATGAGAAACTAGAAAGGAAAGAGAAAAACCCAAAATTAAAAGAATTGAAAGGCTAAAAAAATTGTATTTTAGGAAAGTGATTTGAATTTTTTTTAATCATTTAAGGAGAAGATAGATCGCTGCAATTCCTCTTTTTTAATTTCAATCATTAAGGTGAAGATTTTTGTGGGAAAGATGAAGAATTAAATAAAGAAGAAAGAGAAAAAGAAATAAAAGAAAGGAAAACAAGGTAAATGAAAAGTCAAAATAATGCAAGGGCAATTTTGTCCTAAAGGGGGTTAAGTGAGCAAAATTGAAGGGTAGGGGGTAAACTGAGAAATGGGGTATTCTTTAAGGGGATAAAATGTCATTAACCCTAAATTTGAGAGTTTGAAATCCAAAGTGTTAAAATAAAGAGTTTAGGGTGTAAAATGTTCAAAAGTAAAGTTTAGGGTGCAAAATGAAAAAATGATGCAAGTTTTAGGGGTGCAAAGTGAAGTTAATCCTAATATAGCAATAGGATTGCAGCGGCTCACAGCTTGTGTACCAGGGCTGCGCGCGCTGAAATTTGAAGGCAAAATCCACCGCCTTTGGATCATTTTTCCATTTTCGTGAAGATTCTGCTAATTTCTTTTATTTTTCCTGCTTTTATACCCTATTAAGTGAGAAAAAAAAAAGGAAAACGACCACGGACGTTCTTAATTAAATGAACTTCCATTCTATTGTGGATTATGAATAAAAGTTGATGAGGTTTATATTCATATTTCTAGAACAGAGAGTTTGACAATGCACGACGATCCTATTCTTACTAGGAAACGAAAAATAAGATTGAGAAAGTTGTATCCAAACATGATAAGGTAAGGGTTTCCGAGTAATGGCATGAACTAGGAAGCCCAACGTAGCTTTATATATCTAGCATGCCCCATGAAATCATCATTATTCCCATCTCTCTACTCTACAGCCGATTTCAACCAGAATTACTTCAAGCCATTGGCCATTGATTAGCTTCTGAATAAGAAAACCTCTCGTCAATATAGACTGAATCAAAGCCTAGTCTCCCTTAAACTTTCCTACATTCGTGATAAAGCTGCTGTAAACATAAGCAACAGTAGGAGAGGAGGAGAAGAACAAGAAACTGGGATGGAAAGAAGGCCTTTACAGTGGAAGAAGGGCAAGATTCTTGGGGCAGGATCGTATGGGAGGGTTTACTTGGCTTCACCAGCGGACTTTTCTTCACCATCGCCTCCATTAGCCGCTGTGAAGTCGGCTGATATCAATCTCTCAGAAACTTTGCAGAAAGAGCGTATGTTCTTGTACGAATTGAGGGGCGAGCCAAACATCATCCATTGCTTTGGCAATGACATAAGCACGGAAAAAGATGAAAGAGTTTATAATCTTCTTCTGGAGTATGCGCCGGGTGGCTCCCTTCATGACTTAATCAAGAAGAACAAAGGTACTATACCCGAATCCCACGTTGCATGTTACACTTACATGATCCTCAAGGGCCTTTATGCTATGCTTGAATGTGAGATTATTCATTGTGATTTAAAGCCGGGTAACATCCTTGTTTTCCCTAACGCCGACGACAACAATGGCATACACCAACTTAAGATAGCTGATTTTGGACTCGCTAAGAAAGAGTGGGACACCGAATTACATGAATGGGGAAGAATGGGATACAATAACCGATGTACGCCTATTTATGCATCGCCAGAATCATTAGCATGTGGTTGTAAGGCAGCAGGTTGTTGGGGAAATCGGGTAATTTCCCACTCAAAAATACAACTAGTGATTAAACCGATTCAGTAATTCCCAGGAAAGATCGTCGAAACAATTTCCTTAGACAGAATTACCATTCCAAGTAAATTCCCAGGAAAGGCTGGAGGGGTCACAAGCGGTCCCACTTAAAACCCAGTCTCCTAGACAGAACTTACGTGCACGGTGTATTATCACAATATACCCGTGTATACATAAATAATACGTACACACGAATAAGAAAAATACACCCAAATGAACCGTATAATATACTACAAATATACCCGACAAATATAGACAAATATATTGAATACTATACTACAATAGAAAAGAAACTAATAAATAAATGCGGAACAAATAAAAGAGATAAGGAAAGAACGCACCCGAAAATTGATAACGGAGTTCGGCCAATTTGCCTACTCTCCGAGCACCACTCAAGCGACCCGCTTTTATAAATTTTGGGAGAGAAGAAAGAATACAAAGAATTACAAAATCCTTTTTGGTGTAATTCTTTTGTTTTCTTTTCCTTTTGGTACAATTTAATTGGAAGGACATGAGAGCTATTTATAGCTCTCAAGCTAAGGTTCTTCCAATAATCCCACCGATGTGGGATAGACATTAGGCCACCAAATTCAACAATTGTTGGCCTTAGAAAGGTCAACAATTAAGGCTTGAAGAATTCAAGACTTTGAATTCAACAAATCTCCACCTTGGCATAATTTCTAATCCCACCCAAAAAATACAAATCTTCTCCCTCAAACAAAAAATCAAACGGTCCTTGTGGCGCTTCCAAATTTGCGCCGTCAGGCGCCAACTCAAATGTGCAAGATATTGACCAAGTTTAAACAATGTTCAAACTTGGACCTTGTTACCACCTTGGTCAGCATATCTGCAGGATTCTCCGTAGTCCGAATCTTCTGGAGAATAATCTCCTCTTCTTCGAGAATTTCCCGCACATAGTGATAGCGAACATCAATGTGCTTCGTTCTTGCGTGCAAGACCTGGTTCTTTGCTAAGTGAATAGCACTCTGACTGTCACAAAACACGTCAATGTGTTTTTGACCAACTCCCAAGTCTTCAAGCAATCCTTGAAGCCAAATTGCCTCCTTCACAGCTTCTGTAATCGCCATGTACTCTGCCTCCGTTGTTGACAAAGCCACCGTTGACTGTAAAGTAGACTTCCAACTAACTGGCGCCTTGGCAAATGTGAACAAGTAGCCAGTCGTAGAACGTCGCTTATCCAAATCACCTGCATAGTCAGAATCACAATATCCAACTACACATTGACCAAGTGATTTATCCTGCTCAAATACTAATCCAACATCTACGGTATTTTGGATATACCGTAGAATCCATTTCACAGCTTGCCAATGACCCTTGCCTGGATCATGCATAAACCTGCTTACCACACTAACTGCCTGTGAAATGTCGGGTCTCGTACACACCATTGCATACATCAAGCTACCAACTGCATTAGCATACGGGACTTTCGCCATATATGCTCGCTCTTCATCCGTCTTTGGAGATAATAGGCTATTAAGTTTCAAATGAGGAGCAAGCGGAGTACTTACAGGTTTTGAATTTTCATTCATGCCAAAACGTTGTAGTACTTTCTTCAAATACTGCTTTTGTGTCAGACAAAGCTTGTCTCTCGTTCTATCCCTACTTATCTCCATGCCGAGAATCTTCTTGGCTTCTCCCAAATCCTTCATCTCGAACTCTTTACTCAACTGAGCCTTCAATTTATCAATTTCAACTTGGCTCTTTGATGCTATCAGCATATCATCAACGTACAAGAGTAAGTAGATGTAGGAATCATCTCGTAGCTTGCTCAAATACACACAGTGATCGTATTTGCTTCTTGTGTACTTCTGACCCATCATGAACTGGTCAAATCGTTTGTACCATTGTCTCGGTGATTGTTTCAATCCGTACAACGATTTGCTCAGCTTACAAACCCAATTTTCTTTACCAGCAACTTTGAATCCATCTGGCTGAGTCATATAGATTTCCTCCTTCAAGTCACCGTGAAGGAACGCGGTCTTCACATCAAGTTGAGCTAGCTCCAAATTCAACTGCGCTACCAAGGCCAACAAAATTCTAATAGAGGAATGTTTAACAACTGGAGAAAATACCTCATTATAATCAACTCCCTCCTTCTGAGCGTAGCCCTTAGCCACCAATCTTGCCTTGTAGCGAACATCAATCTTGTCAGGAAATCCTTCTTTCTTTGCAAATATCCATTTACATCCAATTGCCTTCTTGCCCTTCGGTAGTTGTGTCAACTTCCACGTATTGTTCTTCTGAAGAGATTGCATCTCTTCTTCCATAGCATCTTTCCATCTACCATCTTCTGTACTTCGAACTGCTTCAGAAAATGTGGATGGAACATCATCAACAACTGGAAGTGCATAGGCCACCATGTCAACAAAACGAGCAGGTTTATGAATTTCTCGTCTTGCCCTATTGACGGCAATTGACTCTTGCTGCTGTTGAGGTTCTTGGGTTGAAACCTCTTCCTCATCTGACTCTTCTTCTGTCATGGGAGAGTCACTGAAGGTGCTGTTTGTTGGGCTCACCATTATCTGCTCAAACTCCACCTGCTTCGGCGTACACTCCACCTGTTGCGGAGTACCACTGGTTCCATCTTGTGTTACCTTATTCAACATGGCAGTTTCATCAAAGGTAACATCCCTGCTGATAATGGTCTTCTTTGCTTCTAGACACCACAAACGGTATCCCTTAACTCCAGCATTAAAGCCCATAAAGAGAGCTTTCTTTGCACGTGGATCCAACTTTGATTCGTTTACATGATAATATGCAGTAGAACCAAAAATACGCAAAGAATCATAATCTGTTGCAGGTTTTCCAGACCATACCTCTAATGGAGTCTTGCCACCGATTGCAGATGATGGCAAGCGATTGACGAGATGTTGAGCGTATGTCACAGCCTCAGCCCAAAACTTTCTGCCTAACCCAGCATTAGACAGCATGCAACGTACTTTCTCCACTAGTGTCTTGTTCATACGTTCTGACACCCCATTCTGCTGCGGTGTTTTTCTAACTGTGAAGTGTCGAACTATGCCACATTCTTGGCATATCTTCTGGAAGGGATCACTCTTATATTCTCCACCGTTGTCTGTTCGGAGAATCTTGATCTTTCTTCCCGTCTGGTTTTCAACCTGAACTTTCCATTTAAGGAAAATCTCTAGCACCTCATCCTTACTCTTCATAGTAAACACCCAAACTCTTCTGGAAAAATCATCAATAAAAGTGACAAAATAATACCTGCCACCAAGGGATGGAGTCTTGGCAGGTCCCCACACATCTGAGTGCACATAATCCAAAATACCCTTGGTATTATGGATACCAGTGCCAAATTTCACTTTTCTTTGTTTTCCCAGAACGCAATGCTCACAAAATTCTAATTTGCAAACTTTCGTACCTTTCAATAATCCTTGTTTGGCAAGATTTTGCAAGGATTTTTCACCAGCATGTCCCAATCGCATGTGCCACAACTTTGTTGCTTCCGCATCCTTCTTGCTACTGGAAGATGTTGTTGCTGCTGCTGTCCCAACAACTGTACTACCTTGGTAGTAATACAGATTATTCTTCCTCACACCTTTCAACATCACAAGTGCTCCCGAAGTTACTTTAAGAATTCCATCTCGCATCTTCACTTCCAGGCCTTTTGACTCCAAGAGTCCCAAGGAGATGAGATTCCTCTTCAAATTCGGCACGTACCGAACATCCTTCAGGATTCTGCTGGATCCATCATGATTACGCAGCTTGATTGAACCTATCCCAACTGTTTTACATGGATTGTCATTTCCCATGTACACAACTCCACCTTCAAATTCTTCAAATTCAAAGAACCACTCCCGCATGGGAGTCATATGGTAGGTACAAGCTGAATCCAAAATCCATTCATCTGGATGGGATGTTAAAGGTGATACAGCCAAAGAGAAATCTGATTCCGCATCACTTTTGCATTCTGCAATATTTACGTCTTGCGGAGCTTTCCCTTTTTTCTTCAACTTTGGACAGTCTTTCTTCCAGTGCCCTTTCTCACGACAGAAAGCACACTCATCTTTGGCAACTCTGCTTTTCGATTTGGACCTTCCTCTTCTCCCCTTTGATTGGCTTTGTTGACGACCTCTTGCCACTAACGCTTCATCTGCTGCAGCTACTTTCTTTTTCATTTTATCCTGCTTTCTCAATTCACGACTATACAAAGCAGAACATACAGCATCTAAAGACACATTTTCCTTCCCATGAAGTAACGTAGTTTCCAAATGTTCAAATTCATCAGGAAGGGATGATAACAACATCAAAGCCAAATCTTCATCTTCAAAATTTACATCTAAATTAAACAGGTCTGCTACTAATTGATTAAACATAGTGATGTGTTCATTCATAGTAGTACCTGGTTGGTAATCGAAACGGAACAATCTTTTCTTCATTAGGAGTTTATTCTGACCACTCTTCTTCAGAAATTTCCCCTCCAATGCCCTCCACAATTTCCATGCAGAAGTCTCGTTCTTGAAAGTATATTTTTGCTCTTTGGACAAACACGATCGAATAGTTCCGCATGCCAACCGGTTTATGGTACTCCACTCCTTCTCTTCTATGTCATCTGGTTTCTTTTCTTCAATGGCAATGTCAAGACCCTGTTGGAAAAGGGAGTCCATGACTTCGCCTTGCCATATGCCGAAATGGCCAGTACCGTCAAATGTCTCCACTGCCACCTTTAAACTTGACATTGGAATTCTCGACCATGTGGACGAGGAAGCCGATGCCCCAGATACAATTCTTGACGTGGAATTGTCAGATGCCATTACAGACTCAAATGATAGTATTCAATATAACAAACTACAGACAAGCCAAAGGACGAACCTTCGGCTCTGATACCACTTGTTGGGGAAATCGGGTAATTTCCCACTCAAAAATACAACTAGTGATTAAACCGATTCAGTAATTCCCAGGAAAGATCGTCGAAACAATTTCCTTAGACAGAATTACCATTCCAAGTAAATTCCCAGGAAAGGCTGGAGGGGTCACAAGCGGTCCCACTTAAAACCCAGTCTCCTAGACAGAACTTACGTGCACGGTGTATTATCACAATATACCCGTGTATACATAAATAATACGTACACACGAATAAGAAAAATACACCCAAATGAACCGTATAATATACTACAAATATACCCGACAAATATAGACAAATATATTGAATACTATACTACAATAGAAAAGAAACTAATAAATAAATGCGGAACAAATAAAAGAGATAAGGAAAGAACGCACCCGAAAATTGATAACGGAGTTCGGCCAATTTGCCTACTCTCCGAGCACCACTCAAGCGACCCGCTTTTATAAATTTTGGGAGAGAAGAAAGAATACAAAGAATTACAAAATCCTTTTTGGTGTAATTCTTTTGTTTTCTTTTCCTTTTGGTACAATTTAATTGGAAGGACTTGAGAGCTATTTATAGCTCTCAAGCTAAGGTTCTTCCAATAATCCCACCGATGTGGGATAGACATTAGGCCACCAAATTCAACAATTGTTGGCCTTAGAAAGGTCAACAATTAAGGCTTGAAGAATTCAAGACTTTGAATTCAACACAGGTGATATATGGTCCTTGGGCTGCATTGTCGTAGAGATGATAACTGGCGAACCAGTCTGGTCGTGTCGCACTATAGGAGAACTGGTAAGTAAAATTCTGTATGAGAAACCTAAGATACCAGAAAACCTTTGTGAGGAGGGAAAAGATTTCTTGGCGAGATGTTTTGAAGCAACTGTTCCCAAGAGATGGACAGCAGAAGAATTATTGGATCATCCCTTCATTGTCAAAAACCTGAAGTTCTTAGATGATGGAAGTCGTCTTTCCTCTGGTCAATGTTATCAGATGAACCCTTTTGGCTTTGTTGACTCGGTTTCTACCCTTGATTTGTTTTCAACTTCTTCGTTGGAGCCTCAATGCAGCCCTTTTGAGTCTTGGTGCCGAGTGACAGACAACGAGACAGAAGAATCCCGACCTTCCTGTTGTCTTCCCAGTGAATCATTCAAGTTGGAGGAGAAATTAAAAAATATCCATGTGTTCTGATCGAGCTGTTTCGAAGATTATTATTATTCTGATCTTTCTTGCAGGACTTTTTTTCCCCTGTAGGACTTTGAATGTGAAGAAGACCTTTATCACGCTGATCTTTCTTATAGGATTTTGAATGTAACTATTCTACCTGGTCATCAACGAAGATATCTATATTTGATCTAATGTTGATCAGCTTATTGTTTTGTTTTGTGTGATTGCTGAGTTCAAAGTTGGGAAACAAGTAGTAACGTCTTGTGTACAGCTATTCCACGTAATATAGGGGGATTCATTGTTCATTATTACTGAAAAAAATATGCAGCAATTTTTGGTTTTGATCGCATAGTTTCTTTCATAGCATCGATTGTCATTACCTGCATCAGATGAGTCTGCTTATAGAATTAGCTGATGAGTTTCTGCTTGTGCTCAGATGGCACTAATTTCCTCTCATTGTGAATTGAGGTAACATTATAGGGGGAAAACAGAGAGAGTCGTCAATGGATCTCCACATATTAATCCTCGAAAATCGCACAAATACACGTACTTAAAGAACATTCAAGAGTTGCTTCTTGTTTTCTGGTTGATCTGCTCCAGAACCGTACAACCTCTAGCAACATTGTTAGACAAAATTGGCTTGGCACAATCCCACAAACTTGCTGGACGTAGGTTCTGCTCACTTTCTTTTGCTAGGATGTACTTCAACACATAAAGGAAGATACGTGTTCCACTTTACAGCACTTTTTTTTTCTAAATTCTAACCTTTGATTTGGCAACTAAAACTTCATCATCATCTACTTCAGTTATGATCATGTCAAGAAAGTAACAAACATCATCGAATATCACATTTTGTTTGCTGAAGTCAAATCCTATGTTTGAAAATAAGAAAATATGAATCCGAAACAACATACTTCCCATTCTACGGTAGTACCAAGTTTAGCAAAATGTTTAAAACAACAGATTTCGAATCAAGACAGAGATTAACTAGTAGTCTCTGGAAGATTGGCTCCATCCACCAAAGCTCTCCTCCTGCCGATAATATCCCTCATCAGATCCTGCCTGCAATGGCCAAAAGCAGAAAACTTTTGCTTCAGTTTAGCTATATGCTGATAAACCCAAAATGGCAAAGAATGTGTAATGAATCATTTGGTTAAACTTCTCTGTAGAACTGAATTGATCTGACATCTAATGTGCTTTTGGAAGACTAAGTTCTTTGACTACGTAAGTCTGCACAGTACCTCACGCTTGAAGTTAAGGCCAATTCTAATCTCTCCACAATATTTGTCGTCCTTGACAACATTGTATGAAGCTATTGGAACACTTCCTTCAGCAAGAACAGCACCCAAGGGGATTCTGTTGAACAGACTATATTAGTCATGATAAAAATTGTGGATATACAGGGTATCAACTTAACATCTAAAGTATCATTCGTAACCATAACCACAGATGAATGTCAAAAACAGCACTCACTTCGAATTTTGGATTTCAACCTTCTTTTGAACTTTTTTTTTGGCAATTGAAAGACAGGATTTGTAGTCCTCAACTGATTCTTAATCACTTCCGCTCTAAAAATTTCAAAAAAAAAACAAAAAACAAAAAACTCAAGGCATTACTCACGTTGATTCGCCAACAAAATCGTCATTAGTGAGATTGTCACTGTCCATGAGTTTGATTTTGAGTTCAGTAACACCTTCAGAAATGGTAAAGAGAAAGGTTTCATTCCATTCTGGTTCGGATCCTTGACCTACATTGGATGTTCCATGGTGAATTCAACAAAAAACATAACCAAATTATACTAAACAGCCTAAGAGGCAGAAATCCACAACACTACAAGAGCCTCAAGGACAGAAAAGATGCCACAACAATGCACTAATCTAGCAAAACTCTGAGGTCTAGAGGTCAAGGGCATTAAGCCAATCACAAATTTATGAAATATATTTAAGAGAAGAAACTCATAGACTGACCTGATGCGACACTACTTTTCTTTTCCTGAGTCCGGCAAGTTATGATGGCGTAAGGATCCATATTAGCTGCTCAAAAAGGATAAAAGAGTAATCAGGATAAATACTTAATAAATTCATAGCAAGAGTGTTTATATAGTATTAAAAAAAGTCGTTTATTCCAGCAATAGCATCAAGAGATAGAACACAAAAAGTGGTAAGGATCTTTTTGCTTGGACAGATGATTGTTCAAAACACACATACAAAGAAGTCATTATTTAGCCACAACTGCTGACGAATGGCCATCACGAGATATCTGAATTTTCGTGCTTTAGGCATGAGAGTGAATCCATCATATAGATCATCCTTGTTGGATCACCCACAAAAAATGGCCAAATCCACAATCATTAGTTAAAACAAGGAACGAGATAGGAGATGAGCCGGCATTGGATCTTCATATTCTGGATTTTGAAATCAACCTCCACAGATCCATTTGAAACGATTAATTCAAGATTGTGGGAAAAAAAAAACTAAATGTCACGACATTATAAGGGAACATATCTTTAATTCAGATCATCTTATGTTCTACATGGTTATTTAACACAAAAGTACACAACTTGAAAAAGTTTGGAAATCAATGGCCATAGATAAATATAAAGCTTCATTTAGGTACATTTCCAGTGCAAAACAGGTGAAGATGTATCTACAATTTGTCACCATGATCACTTAACAATATTCAATCTTAAAGTCAAATCATCCCTTCAGTCATCGAAATTTATAAATCATGAAAACAACCACCCAAATTTTCACTCAAAACAATAAAGTACAAAATGCAAGCACATTAAACCAATTAACAAGATGAACCAGAAAAGAATTAAAAAGCACATTGTCTTGCGTGGTTGCAGTAACGTACACAGGAGATCAGTGTTTTCGAGGCCCTTGGCGCTAACAAGAAGAACTTCAAGGGTTCCCCGCGGCATCTTTGGATCAAAGAGAATTTGAAGAAAGACAGACCAAAAGAGACCAAAAAGATCAGAAATGGGTGGAATCAGACCACGCTTGCCACCACTCTGTCTGAGAGATTATGATCCGATGAATTCTTTGCCGGGCAGGGTGGCGGAGTATATATATATACATATAAATAAACGACCTGAAGCGGTCTAAGCTCGTTTGAGAGCCGGTTTGATATTAGATAAAAACTCGCCCGGTTCGGTGACTTGCTTTTAAAAAGATTTTTAACTTGGGCTGGAGACAGGAGAGGTGAAGGATTATTACTTTAGCAGACAGTTATGCTTATTTGCATGTGGCCCATGTGGATTTATTAATGATCCAACGGCTATGGAATCCATGATTCAAGAATTGCCTCACTTTCTGCATTTTAAATTCTTTGTTTTTTTTTTCTGGTTTAGAAATAACAAAAATTTTCAGTTCTAGATTTCTGATGTGAATGGTTTTTCTGAGATGTAGGGTAAAAAAAAATTTGCCAAATTAGTAAAATTAAAATAACTTCCTTTCATCGCGTACAAAAATATGCTCAAATTTTTCAAGGTGGTTTTTTTAACGTGCAGCCCAATGGAATATCGCCTCACATGTTTTTGAAGTTGTTGTTACCCTTTTTTTTTTTTTTTCTAATTTTGATGTTGGTTTACTAGTGAAGGTGCAATTGATTATTGTGCAAAATACAAAAGAAGCTCCCTGCTTCTGCTTAAACTCGGACGATGACCACTTAGAACACTCGCAAGCACTGAGCTTCCCGGAAATTGTCATTTCAATCCAAGAAGCCGTGAGGCTTTCTCCTTATTTACATGTTACATGGCCTGCTGATTTTGTCTATATTATGTTGTTATCTTACTTCAAAGTTCTTGGATGCTTGTTCCAGGCAATTAACAGGCTTCCATTGCTTGTGGGAATTGGTCCAAGTGTGATTCTTTACGCACCACTCTTCCTAGATTAAGCATTTCCAGCCTGAATTCCCTCACTTTTGTTTTTTTTGTTTTTTTTTTTTTTTTGGGGGATCAATCATCAGCTTGAGTGATCGCTTACAAATTAGCAGATATAATTAATGTCTAGCATAATGGCAAGTAGCAACAGAACTAAGATTAACCTGCCCCATTCGTCTTTGATTGCACTTGTTCCCACACTCATTTTCCTGCAACATACGTCTGCAAATTCCCTTTTAATGGAAGCTCTAATTTAAATGAGCGAAGGAAGAAAACTGCGAGGACCAGCTAAAAGTGCATGGACTAGATTGCTGCCAATCAAGCGAATGTTCAAAATCCATAATCCCTCGTACTATCTTGCTGTATATCGTATGTGTCATCTTGCTTTTCTTTGTCTTTCACTCTTCAATCATGTAACCTATTCTTCAATCATGTAACCTATTCTTCAATCATGTAACCTATTGAGCTTTGAAACTGAACATAAAGACTATTGGTATCTCAGCAACTCTAACCTCGAGTCAAAACCAATTTCCTTTCATGTGTTCAGGGAGTGAAATGCATACATTAGTAGATGAACTCTAACAGCCAAGCTCAAGCAATAATCAAGCTGATACAACCATCGTATGCATGAATTTACGTTGTTGTAGAACATTTCAGTTTGCCATGAAGATGCTCATTTTTTTGGCACAGTTATAGAGAATTGGTTGGTTGGTGGGTTACAAATGACACCAAAATACATTTCACCATCTAAAATTAATGAAGATAAGAGTACAATGCACCATGAACCAGCCATCTACTTGTAGAACTCCATGACCCACACGTTACACACAAAACATACTACCCTTATACCTCTAAATCCTGCTGCAGTAGCCAAATCAAGAAACTCTGCTTCAGATCTCTCTTTTCCTCCAGGGTTTTGAGTCATGGTTATTAGATCAGATTGGCAAGTGGCTTTGATGCCTGCACTAGTATCAGGAACCACAGGAAGAATTGGATCTACGACTATTACCTTTCCATCATCCGGTAGAGCCTTGAAACAGTTCTTTAGCAACTTCAAGCAACGACCATCATCCCAAAAATGAAGTATCCACTACAAAAGCATTCATGTGATCATAAGAAAGAAGAGAACAATTAAGAACGTAATAATTATACTGTGGTCCATATCTTACAGAGGACACTTCAGAATCATTTTAAAGGTGTAAAAAAAGCAACTCGAATTACGAATTGGGTAGATAATTAGTTTGAGAAGATCGGCATAATATATTGTTCAGAGGGACCATTTCTTAAATAAGTATTGTATGCTTAATTGTTGCGACTGGTAACTCATTAGTACTAACAAGAATTCCTCAAGAGTTCAACTTACCTTCATAAAAATGGCATCTCCTTGTGGAACACTTACAAACATGTCACCGCCAACATGTTCTACCCCTGTAAAATTCACCTCAATAAGAATAGAAGCTAGAAGACCACTATGAAAGAATATTATGCGATATGAAAGACATTATGCTTTTTAAACAATTCTGCATATAGGGACTGCAGATAAGGTAATCAGCCCCATATGACATATGCAAGTTTCTTTACCCAACAATAAGGTTTAAGATAGAGAACAAAGCGATAATGTCTCTATTCCACAAAACTATGCCGCTAATTCCTAAGCATATTTTGCATCTTAATGAAGTTTATGAAATAAGTATTGGCACCCGTTTTCTTCTTCATTCTTTGCGTGCTATCTACTGATCAAACTAAGCATGATTTCGAGAGAAAGGACAGAATTATACCAGGATAGACCGGTGCATGTTGAATAACATGTGGCAAATCAAAATTAATCCCTTTGAGACTTGGGTATTTAGTTGTGATCACACTGAGGGTAACTCCAAGACCACCGCCAACATCTACCAAAGTTTTGAGGTGCTCAAAGCCTTTGTAGCGTTCAACAATTCTGTTAATGGCAATAGTTGCGTGGTTGATCATTGCCTTGTTGAAGACCTCATTGAATCTGGGGTCTCTACCAGGGTATTCAAATGCACGTACACCATATGCCCTATCAAACGGAACTCCTCCTTCACGAACTGCATCTTCTAATTGGTACCTAAATTAGGCGGATTTGATGAAGATTTTTGTACAAACCAAACTACCCTTACCTTATATATGCTATGAATAAAAGCAATTGATACTTATTATCCACACAAAAACAGAAATTTGACGGACTACAGAGGTGGGACTTTAGAAACATAATATACAGCCAAATTATGCTCAGACTTGAAGGTAGCATTTGCAAATCCAAGGACTTGTGCTTTCCCGTAAAGGGGCATGAATAACTGTTGAATTGGAAAGGTTGGTTTCGAAAAGAAAGGTTCTGGAACCATTTTAGGACACAAATTCTGACCAGGTACTCGGTCTTCCAGTAAACAGTGCAATGAATTTTTACGTATTTAATTAGGAGTGTACGAAAGCTTAATTGAGAGTAATAGAAGTAGAAGCAAACAGAAGCAGTAGAAGTCAAAACACTGACCAACTGTCAATGAAGACCTTATCTTGAAACAAGGCAAGCAGGGGGCCTAGTGAAACTCCTCCTCCTCCTGCTCCATATGTTTTGTTCTGCACAAAGTATTTGGCCACCGGTGCCAATCCATACACTCTTCTTTGGCTACTGATACTAGCATCCGCCTCGGCAACAGAACAGGTGAGCACCGAGTAGCTAGCCAGGAGCTGCAGCATCCTATCCAGCATAGCAGCCGCATCAGGGTTTTTAGGACACACCTGGGCTGCAATGTCCCAAGGCGACAATTGGGCACCTGGACCCGCTTGGGCAATGACCTCCAACACATCGAGCCGGATGGCAGCCAGCAGCACCATGGGCAAAGATACAGAGGTGACCAGTTGCATCGCGTACGAGAAGTGTTGCTCTTCTTGCTCATCTAGCCCTGCTTCAACAACAACATTGTCGATTGCTCTTGACGAAGAATCCATATCACCACTGCTACTACCTGTAACTCTTAACTCTGTAGACGATGATAGATCCCAGCTAGCTCATATATATATATATATACAGATTAGTTGTACTGTAGCATATATTGGCTTGGGTGCGGGGGTTGTGTTAATTGCCACTCATTGACTGCAAATTTTGAAATGATTATGGGACATGCGATTGAGCAGAAACTGTAAAAAATTTAAAGAACAAGCAACTGGAATGAGGCGTCTGGAACAAAGGGGAAGCAAGATTTGGAAGGGTAGCTTTGTAAATGTCAGGGTATAGTCTTAACTAGTTAAGGGATAATATCAGAAACCTCCCTTGTTCTCAAGGGAGGTTTCTCTTAATATCACTGGGTATCTTTAAGGTTTTAAAAATGTCACTTACCCCCCTCTAATAATTGCAAAAAAATTATATTAACCCTCACTCAATACATAATTTACATATCAAATGAATGGAGCTCAAAAATTAAAAAGAAAAGAAACAAAAGATATTTTCTTCTCTTTCCTTTTTCTCTAACATTCTCTTTTATTCATTTTTCGAATGACTATGTAATTTTTTATTTGTAAATTATAATAAATTGAATTTTGTTTATCTTTTACCTTGTATGATTGTGATAAAGTGGGGTACGAATTATTTGCTTATTTTGAGTTGCTTTTTATAATAATCAGTACAATTTAAAGGTTTGGGCATGAATTGAGAAGAGGTTGGAAAAAAATATAAAGTTCATAAAAAATCAGTTTGAACATATAGAGTAAAATTAGTCAACTGCATTTCTTTATAAATATCTTTTTATTTTTAAAATTTATATTTTTATGGACTATAGTATTATGATGTATTAGTACTACTAGAGATTGTTTTTTGGCAAACGGAGAGTACTGCTCCTTTTTTTTTTTTTTTTTTTTTTGTTCTCCCTCTGTTAAAAGGGGGTGCATCTTAAGCATGAGTTGGTGTGGTGTCTGTTTATTGGGCAATGTTTTATGTCTGTTTACTTTTTATTTTGTCGGCCAAAAATACTTCAGACAAATGACAAAATTCAAGAAAAATATTTTATTCAAATAGCTTTTCCATATTGTCTTAAAATTCTACAGATAGATTAGAAAAGTTGATTGGCATTATCATCGTACGTTTTGACAAATCAATTATTAAGTCACTCAAATTTAAAAAAAATAATAATCACAAGATTATTAAGGTGGATAAGTGATATTATTCTCTCTCACACGCACACACACATAATTAGACACCACCGTCAAGCCAAAGATTTCTGTCTTCTCTATACTTCTTACGTGGTAATCATATTGAACAACAAATTTTCATTTCTTTGGTCCCACTTGCTTTATTTTGCGGGAGGAATGAATGGAAGTCAGCATCTGTTCTTCAGTTCGTAAAAAGATGCAAATTGTGATTAAATCCACAAACTGGAGAGATAAATTTAAAAATGCACCCTCAAAGTTATAGAGACTTTCTATTTTGACCCTGCTTCTGCTTGAACTCGGATGATGACCACAAACTTCATGGCCTGCTGATTTTGCCTATATTATGTTGTCTGTCAACTTACTTCAAAAGTTCTTAGATGCTTGTTCGTGGGAATTAAAAGGCTTCCGTTGATTCCTAGCTCGTGGGAATTGGTTACATTGATCTGAGTGTAATTCTTTACTCACTAATCTTTCAAGATTAAGCATTTCCAACCTGAATTCCCACATTTTTTTTCTGGATCAATTATCTGCTTGAGTGATCGCTTACAAATCAGCGGATATGCAATGTCTAGCACAATGGCAAGTAGCAGCAGAACTAGACTAAACTCCCCCATTCTTTTGTCTTCAATTGCACTTGTTCCCACACTGATTTTCCTGCAATGTACGTCTACAAATTCCTTCTACATGATTATTACATTTTTCTGGCTTTCCTATGAAACAATAGGACCAGCTAAAAGTGCATGGACTAGAATGCTGCCAATCAAGCGACCGTTCAAACTCCATAATTCCTCGAACTATCTTGCTGTATATCGTATATGTCATCATGCTTTTGTTTTTCTTTCACTCTTCAATCATGTAACCTATTGAGCTTTGGAACTGAACATAAAGACTAATGGTATCTCAGCAACTCTAACCTCGAGCCAAAATCAATTTCCTTTAATGTGCTACACCAGACGATGTTCACAGCCAAGCTCAAGCAACAATCAAGCTGATATAACCATCGTATGCATGAATTTGCATTCTGTAGAACATTTCAGTTTGCCATGAAGATGCTCCTTTTTTTTTTGGCACAGTTTAGAGAATTGGTTGGTTGGTAGATTACCAATGACAATTTGTCTAGTCCAAAACAAGAGAATCCACATTATTTTTTCTGACAAGCCCAATATTATGACTAACATCAAACGTTCTTCCCCAATCCCCCCTCCCCCCAAACAAAAAAAAAGACAATTCTCCATCTAAAATTAGTGAAGATAAAACGAGAATGTTTTTAGAGTGCAATGCGCCATGAACTAGTCATCTACTTGTAGAACTCCATGACCCAGGCATTACACACAAAACATTCTACCCTTATACCTCTAAATCCAGCTGCAGTAGCCAAATCAAGAAACTCTGCTTCGGATCTCTCTTTTCCTCCAGGGTTTTGAGCCATCATGATTACATCAGACTGGCAAATGACTTTGATGCTTGCACTAGTATCAGGAACCACAGGAACAATTGCATCTACAACTATTACCTTTCCATCCTTTGGTAGAGCCTTGAAACAGTTCTTTAGCAACTTCAAGCAACGACCATCATCCCAATCATGAAGTATCGACTACAAAAGAACGCATGTAAAAAGCATCAAAAGAAAGAAGAGAACGATAAAGAACGTAACAATTATTCTGTGGTCCATATCTTACAGAGGACACTTCAGAATCAGTTTAAAGTTGTAAAACAAGCAACTCAAACTACAATAATTAGTTTGAGAAGATCGGCATAATATATTGTTCAGAGGGACCATTTCTTAAATAAGTATTGTATGCTTAATTGTTGCGACTGGTAACTCATTAGTCCTAATAAGAATTCCTCAAGAGTTCAACTTACCCTCAGAAAAATGGCATCCCCTTGTGGAACACTGTCAAACATGTCTCCTCCAACATGTTCTACCCCTGCAAAATTCACCTTAATAAGAATAGAAGCTAGAAGACCACTATGAAAGAATGTTATACGAGATGAAAGAAATTATGGTTTTTAAACAATTCTGCATATAGGGACTGCAAATAAGGTAATCAGCTCCATATGACATATGCAAGTTTCTTTACCCAACAAAAGGTTTAAGATAGAGAACTCAGCAATAATGTCTCTATCCACAATACTATGCCTCTAATTCCTAAGTATATTTTGCATCTCAATGAAATTTATGAAAAAAGTATTGGCACCTGTATCCTTCTTCAGTCTTTGCATGCTATCTACTATTTGTTAATCAAACTATGCATATGATTTCGAGAGAAAGGACAGAATTATACCAGGATAGACCGGTGCATGTTGGATAACATGTGGCAAATCAAAATTAATACCCTTGAGACTTGGGTATTTAGCTGTGATCACGCCGAGGGTAACTCCAAGCCCACCACCAACATCTACCAAAGTTTTGAGGTGCTCAAAACCTTTGTAGCGTTTAACGATTCTGTTAATGGCAATAGTTGTGGGGTTGATCATTGCCTTGTTGAAGACCTCATTGAATCTGGGATCTCTAGCAGGGTATTCAAACGCATGTACACCATGTACCCTATCAAACGGAACTCCTCCTTCACGAACTGCATCTTCTAATTGGTACCTAAATTAGACAGATTTGATGAAGATTTTTGCACAAACCAAACTACCCTTACCTTATAATTTCTATGAATAAAAGCAATTGATACTTAATTATCCATGCAAAAACAGAAATTTGACGGACTACACAGGTGGGACTTTAGAAACATAATATACAGCCAAATTATGCTCTGACTTGAAGGTGGCATTTGCAAATCCAAGGACTTGTACTTTCCTGTAAAGGGGCATGAATAATTGTTGAATTGGAAAGGTTGGTTTCGAAAAGAAAGGTTCTGGAACCATTTTTTGGACACTAATTCTGACCAGGTATTCGGTCTTCCACAAAATAGTGCAACGAATTTTTACGTATTACTTAGGAGCGAGCAGAAGTCTTGCCCATTATTGGCCAGCAAGCCGTGCGAGACATAGTAAAAGCTTAATTGAAAGTAATAGATTTAGAAGCAAATAAAAGTGGAAGTGAAAACACTGACCAACTGTCAATGAAGACCTTATCCTGAAGCAAGGCCAGCAGGGGGCCTAGTGAAACTCCTCCTCCTCCTGCTGCATATGTTTTATTCTGCACAAAGTATTTGGCCACCGGTGCCAATCCATACACTCTTCTTCGGCTACTGATACTAGCATCCGCCTCGGCAACAGAGCAGGTGAGCACCGAGTAGCTAGCCAGGAGCTGCAGCATCCTATCCAGCATAGCAGCCGCATCAGGGTTTTTAGGACACGCCTGGGCTGCAATGTCCCAAGGCGACAATTGGGCACCTGGACCCGCTTGGGCAATGACCTCCAACACATCGAGCCGGATGGCAGCCAGCAGCACCATGGGCAGCGCTGCAGAGCTGACCAGTTGCATCGCGTACGAGAAGCGTTGCTCTTCTTGCTCATCTAGTCCTGCTTCAACTACAACATCGTCGGTTGCTCTTGACGAAGAATCCATATCACTACTGCTACTACCAGCAACTCTGACTCTATAGATGCTGATAGATCCCAGCTAGGCTATGCGTATATATTCAGCTTAGTAGTACTGTAGCATATATTGGATTGGGTGCGAGGGTTGTGTTAAACTCTTAATTGCCACTCATTGACGGCAAATTTTCAAATGGGACGTCCGATTGAGCAGAAACTGTGAAAATTTAAAGAGAAAGCAATTGGAATGAGGCGTCTGGAATCAAGGGGGAGCAAGATCTGGAAGGGTAGCTTTGTAAATGTAAGGGTATACTCTTAACTAGTTTAGTTAAGGGATAATATCAGAAACCTCCCTTGAGGTTTCTCTTAATATCACTTGGTATCTTTGTGGTTTTAAAAATTCACTTACCCTCCAGTAATTGCAAAAAGACTATATTAACCCTCACTCAATACATAATTTACATATCAAATAAATGAGCTCAAAAATTAAAAAGACAAGAAACAAAAGATATTTTCTTCTCTTTCTTTTTTCTCTAACATTCTCTTTTATTCATTTTTCGGATAACTATGCAATCTTTTATTTGTAAATTATAATAAATTGAATTTTGTTTATCTTTTACTTTTTATGATTGTGATAGAGTGGGGTATGAATTATTTGCTTATTTTGAGTTGCTTTTTATAATAATCAATACAATTTAAAGGTTTGGGCATGGATTGAGAAGAAGTTGGAAAAAAATATAAAGTTCATAAAAAATCAGTTTGAACATATAGGGTAAAATTAGTCGACTGCGTTTCTTTATAAATGTCTTTTTATTTTTAAAATTTATATTTTTATGAACTATAGTATTATGATGTAATAGAACTACTAGAGATTGTTTTCTAGGTGATGGTTTTCTTGAAATAAACAAAATGATTTATGAGTATTTTTATTTAGCAAGTAGAAGGATAGTTTAGGGTTTTCAAAAATTTTGTTACACAAATAACGAAAATAAAGGAGGTAAGTGATATTTTTAAAACTTTAGAGGTGCCAAGTGATATTAAGAGAAATCTCAATAGAGGAGGTTTATGATATTATCCCTCTAATTAATTTGAAAGAAAGTTAAAGAGTGTTTTAAACTTTTTTTGAATGCTACTATCATTCGCTATTGTATATGATAATTGATTAATATTACTACTTACTTTTTACGTAAAACTATTAAATATAAATATAAATTTGATGGGCTATAGATTTCAATTTGTTCTTCCAACCCCCCTTTGTCCAACTTAATTGTGAGCGGTGGTACGTATTACAAGTCTCATTAACACAGTCCACATAAGTAATGTTTGACTACCTATATCTAAATGCAGAAGTCACGCACGCATGCAACTTTCTCGTCATGTACCGTCCAAGACGTACCTTTCCTTCCTCGTGTGTGTGCAACTTTGCAGCTTCTACAAAAGGAAAACCAACTTAAAGGTGCCAAAACAAGAGGTGTTGCGAATGGAGTTGTGGGTGGTGCTATGGAATGGAGAATGGAGAGTTGTGGTGCCAAAAGGAGAGTACTGCTCTTTTTTTTTTTTTTTTGGCTCTCCCTCTGTTAAAAGGGAGTGCATCTTAATCATGAGTTGGTGTGGTGTCTGGTTAAGATTTGTTGTTGGAATTATGGCAAAATCACAGATTTATTTCTGTTTACTTTTTATTTTGTCGGGCAAAAATACTTCAGACAAATGACAAAATTCAAGAAAAATATTTTATTCAAATAGCTTTTCTATATTATCTTAAAATTCTACAGATAGATTAGAAAAGTTGATTGGCATTATCATCGTACGTTTTGACAACTCAATTATTAAGTCACTTAAATTAAAAAAAATATCACTCAACCTCAACAGCAGAGACTCTACCATCCATTTGAATGTTATACCTTCAGATTGAATTCACCATTGTATAATTATAATATTTTCAAGAATTGACAAGAAATTGAAGGAATGATTTCCCAAACAAACCATAAAGTTTTCTAATTCAAGTTTGCTATTTTTCTAGCTTAATTGATAAGGTTTGGGGTTATTTAAAAGAATATTAAGTGTCACACGACAAAATAATGTCCACTCAACTTCTAGTTTTCAAATGAATGTCCATTTTGTTTATAATGAATTGAGACCGTTGGTAAGCCTAGAGAGTTGGTGTTCCCGGCATAAGACTCTGGTGTTCCCATAGGATAGATGAATAGAAGAGATTAGCAAAAATGGCAGCTAAATTGAAACGGTGGATGACTAGATCTGATTCAAAGAATTCAGACTTGGTATTAAGTAATGAAATTAAGATGGAAATAGATAATTCTAATTGGACCATACCTGAACAGAAAATTGAAGAAATTTACAAAGTAGGATTATTTGATTTTAAAGTAGCAATGACTATAAAAATACATGAAGAAACACGATCAGTAAACGAACAATTTCAAACTATACATTTGTTAAATGACCACGCATTACAAAAATACATTAATAATGGTTAGAGATATATTCACATGGGTTTGGTACAAGTAGCCGTAAAACCTTTAGTTCATATGGGGGTTGATGCTCCGATCTTTATGGCATTAAGAGATAAAAGACTTATAAGATATAAAAGCTCTTTATTAGCATTAATTCAAACTAACACATGTAATGGTCCTATCTATTTTAATTGTGCACCTAACTATTCAATAAAAATATTTCAAATAGAATTTATACTTATTATATTAAAAATCCACAAGGAGAAATTCAGCCTATTCCTTATCATCAAATTCAAAATTACTCCCCAGTTTATATTAGACCTAGTTTTTGGTCTGTTCAGACTCCAAAAGAAAAAGCCTTTCTTCTCACAAGACAAATTAATTCCAATATTATTTTCAAGATGTCCTCAAAAAAGCCGGTCATCCTCAGGAAGAGATTCAATATTATGACCAACACATTCAACAGCTTCGAGAGAAACTCAACAAAATTATTTCTTGACTTTAATTTTGCAGATATGGCTCGCACTCCAAAGGATTATGAAATGTCTCAAAGTAAGGTTCCTACTTCAAATAGATATAGTTTATTTCAAGATTTCCCAGCTTTATCTTATGTTCAAGCAGCTCAAAATCCATCCAATTCTTCAAAAGCACCACAAACCCCAATTGCAAAAGAAAAATCTCCTTACATTACAAAACCCTTGATTCAACATATTACTCTAACCAAATTCAAAGAAGTACCTCCCTATGCCACACTCAAAACACTTACTCAGAGGATTTTCCCAGAAGGATGCTATTGGTGTCCTGATGATTCCCTCAAAAATCAATCTTATTATGAACTGATTTTAGTTGATACTGGATCAGTCGAAATTATTGCAAAACCCAATCCTTCAAATTCAAAGGAAATAGCCCATTGCAAATGTATAATTAAAAAGGTATGCTCCCCAGGAGAATGGGCCTCAATTTATTCAAAAAAGAACTTTTCAGTCTGAAGGATTCCAGACGGATTCACATATCAGGATTACAAACAGGCCTGGTATAGAGCTTTTCTATACAGACCATTTGATCATTCATGGTTTTTTATATTCCATGAACATTGCCCAAAGGATTTTCCAAGGACATTCATCAAAGGTTTTTTGATCATTCTATACGAAGGATTAGAAAAGTTGATTGGCATTATCATCGTACGTTTTGACAACTCAATTATTAAGTCACTTAACTTAAAAAAAAATATCACTCAACCTCAACAGCAGAGACTCTACCATCCATTTGAATGTTATACCTTCAGATTGAATTCACCATTGTATAATTATAATATTTTCAAGAATTGACAAGAAATTGAAGGAATGATTTCCCAAACAAACCATAAAGTTTTCTAATTCAAGTTTGCTATTTTTCTAGCTTAATTGATAAGGTTCGGGGTTATTTAAAAGAATATTAAGTGTCACACGACAAAATAATGTCCACTCAACTTCTAGTTTTCAAATGAATGTCCATTTTGTTCATTTCAAATATTGGTTCCTTCTGCTTCCTAATTCCATATTATTAAGAAAAATTACACATTTTAATGTTTCTCACATTATAAAAGCATTGTAATTTACTCTCAAAGTCCATTTTAATGTATTTTTTCGCTTGAGAAGCGCATGAACCATCATGACTTAGTAATGTTAAAAGTGATGCCATTGTGATTTGATTTCTTGTCTCTTATTCGAGTGGATCATACAAAAGAGAAAATACTAAGTAATATTAAATTTACAAGGATTATTATTAACGATGAATAGTCGTTAAAGAGAAAAGTAATTGTACAAAAAGAATAGCAAAAAATTTAGAAACAAATCCTAGCTATGCTTAACTTTCCTTTCAAAAAGAATAGAAATTCTTCAACTCTTCTGATGACTGACCTTTTAACTATCTTTCACATCGGATTGTTAGGATAACAACAGAGAATTTTGAATACTTGCACCCTCAAAGTTATAGAGACTTTCCAAATCATTTGTAGGACAAACGTACTCCAAGATCAATTCCCTTATTTTATATATGTTGCCATTCATGTATCCACCAAACTTTATTAATCTTTTTAATGTCTCAGCAAAGATTCCATATTCTCGAAATTTTTGCAATTTTGCATTATGTAATCGAAACAACCTTCAATATTTTACTCCAAAAATTTAGAAAACTCATCCATCCTAATAATGACATTCCAATAAACACTATTCACTACAAGATTTTTTTTAGGTGGATAAGTGATATTATTCTCTCTCACACGCACACACACACATATAATTAGGGACCAGGGTCAGGAACGGTTTCGTGAAGGTTATGTGCATTTTGCACACGGCGTAACTCTTGTTTGCACATGGTGTAACTTACTTTTAACAACATGTAATACTAAAACAAAATTTTGTGTATTCCACACATATTATTAAAAACGAGGTACAAGATGAGATCTGGATCAAACAAATTTTTTTGGCCAAATCTTGGCCGTGTGAAATGTCAAGATACAATTTTTTTTTTACCAAATTTTGGCCGTGAATTGTCAGCAACGGTTGCTTCCTGCAACCATTCCTGCCCCTCTTCCATAATTAGACTCCACTGTCAAGCCAAAAGATTTCTGTCTTCTCTATACTTCTTACATTGTTATCATATTGAGCAATAAATTTTCGTTTCTTTGGTCCCCCTTGCTTTATTTTGTGGGAGGAATGAATGGAAGTCAGCATCTGTTCTTCAGTTCGTAAAAGATGCAAATTGTGATTGAATCCACAAACTGGAGAGATTAATTTAAAATGCACCCTCAAAGTTATAGAGACTTTCTATTTTGACCCTGCTTCTGCTTAAACTCGGATGA